CGTGTAATATACTCTAAAACCAAAGTAATTTAAACTAATGAGCAAAAAGTAATGTTACTTTATAACAAAAAAATTTAAATAGGTAAAGATATGTTGTCACATATTTTGTCATTTCAATTATATTTTAAATGAAATTAAAATGTCAAGAAAAAAAAACTATCTACACTTTTTAAAACTTATGCATATGAACATTCACAGTTGTTAAACTCTTATAAAGCTTTATTTATTTTGTTACATCAAAAAAAAAAGCTTTCAAAATTGTCCAATACAAAAGCATTTCTATTATTTTTTCTAATAAATAAGCATTTATCATATCTACATGAATATTTATAAAGCATATCTTTTATGTCGCTTTTTAAAGGATAATGACTTAAAAAGATTACCAGTTTTTTTATTTGTATGCATTTAGTCATCGGGTTTTTTTGTGTCCATATTTTCCTATTGAACTTGTTTGATATGTTCAAAAATGTCATTATGATCTGCTATAGTAGGTTTCCGGCATATTTGACAGCTCTAGCGAGTTTCCGGCCAAAAATGCATTTTTCAGCGAGTTTTGGTCATCTTCTCCAGCCACCATTAAAATCGTTCACTGCTCATCTTCATCATCCTCCAAATCACCATTACACCAAGACCTTTATAACCACAAACCACCTACCATCACCCTCCGTCGCCTCTGTCATGGTTGGACGCATCTGGCCGGAACCGTAACACCCTCCGACGCCGACATATTTCTAACCCTTTTCTTCCTAGTTGCTCTACCATCACATCTCTGATTCCTCCCTTGTTTCGATCTCTCTTGTTTCCCTCTCCAACCCTATATTTTTACCCATTTTCTCTACCGGTGATCGCCGGGGAAATCATAATCACCGGAGAAGATGATCGGAGCCTCGTTGGAGTTGTCAAATACGTCGGTAACCAGCTAAACCTTCTATAGCATGTCATAAGGTTGCTTTTTGATTATTTCAAACAAGTCGATGAAAAAAAAAAACAAAAAACTTAATGACTAAATGTATATAAATCAAAATTATCCTTTTAAGTCATTATCCTTTTTTAAACGAACAATTTACCTAATATTTGGCTAGCTCATTGGGCTATATGCACCTGATCTATATATACATAAGACAAAACTGCAAAAATGGTCTCTGTGGTATGCATTTTTTTAGGGTTTTAGTCCAAACCCGGACTTTGTTGGATTGGTGGTCCTTTTTGCCATGTTTGTATGTAGTTTGGTCCGTCGTAAAATTAAAATGACTATAATACCCTTCTGATATATTTTTTTTTATTTTTTTCTATTTAATTTAAATGAAAAAGGAAATAAATAATTAATTTGGGCCTCTCTCTCTCTCTCTCGTATACCCCTGATTAATGCTTGTCTTCTTCACCTCTACATCTTTAATACACAGAGTACAACTTTGTAGAAATCTGATCAACAAATCTTCTATGCTTCTAAACCCAGAAAATCAAGAACCGGGTGTAGCTCTCAATCGATTAACAACATTGGTTCTTCTTCTTCTTTCCGTCAAAGTGTACACAGAGAGAAAAGAAAACAGGTCTGGTAACCGCTTTCCTCAAAAGCCTAACACCACAATCAATACCCATTGCAACTCGAATCCT